CCCGCCCGCTCGCCATCCCCCGGTCGTGAGTCCATTCCCCGCCCGCTCGCCATCCCCCGGTCGTGAGTCCATTCCCCGCCCGCTCGCCATCCCCCCCGCCCGCTCGAGTTCACCTCCCCTCGCTTCGCATCCCTCGCGTCCCCCGCCACCCTCACCCGCCCGCTCGCTCGCTTCGCTTCGCTCGCTCACTCACCCAAGGCGGCCATATGCTCGCTCGTCCGCACAGGTTGAAAGCCGACAAACGGCACCTGCATGCTGGCCAACGTCCCCGTAGCGTAAAAGGAAGAGTAGGCAATGTACAAGCGCGGACTGAACCTGCCCATGCAAATGAGCGTGAATGCGTGCAGCGGGACGAGGTTGGTGATAAAGACGTAACCGCCCCATGCCGCCACCATGTAAAAGTAGAATAGCGCAGCGGCAGTTCCCCAAAGCGCGCTGCCATCCTTGAGCGCCTTGATCCAGAGGTAGAATACGGTCATCAAGAGAAAGATGGCGATGGCTTCATTGTCGTACGAGCCGGCTACGGATCTGGAAATGTAACCTGGCGCGATGCCGATGAAAGCGGCGGCGAGAAGTCCAGCAGCGTCGTCCTTCATCGTCGCTGTAAACTTGTACGTCGACCATGCCGTCAATCCGCTGAATCCGGGTGCTAGCAAGACGCAAATGTTGCGAATGTCGACGGGAAGGTTGACGGCTTTGAGGGTGTTGTAGATTGCACCGCTCGTAGCCATCAATCCGGGGTAGAGTGTGCCTCCTGCTGCGCGTCCGAGGGGGTACCACTGGCGAGCGCAGCGAGCGTGAGCGCGAGCGAAGCGAGTGCAAGTGAGCGTGCGGGCGGGCGTGGGGGCGCGAGTGAGCGAGAGTGAGCTCGGGCACGCTCGCGCACGCCCGCACGCCCGCACACACGCGCGTGCCCACTCACCGCAGTCGGGTCGAACCAGTTCCAAAAGCGATAGTATCCATCGCTAGCCAACACTTTTGTAGCGCGATAATTGACTGCGGGGCGGGAGGGGGCGGGTGTCAGCGTCGCATGCGTGCGTGCGTGCGTGCGTGAGCATTCTTTGAGCGCTCTCCGCGTGCACCGCACCTCCCCCACTCACACCAAGGATCAAACTCGTGAATGATGCTCTCGTGTCGAATGACTGCAAACAATCTGCTGCTGACGGCGCTGCCTGCAATGGTGAGGATGATGACGATGCGAAGGAGGGAGACGAGGTTGCTAGTCGTTTCGTGCGACAGCAGAGGAAAGTGGTATGCCAGCGGCATCTTTGCGTGCGTGCGGGTGGTGGTGGTGGGGAGGAGTGCTAAGTGCGCTCGCACTCGCACTCGCGCGTGTCATGGCAGATCTTCCAGCGACCGCGCCTGCGCGCCGCCTGCCGTCCACGTGTCGCGCGCACGGACCGCGCGGGCGCAAAGCAACAGCAGCACGCACGCGCGCATACACGCACGCACGCACGCACGCACACAAGCGCGCACCTCCACTCCACGCCCACGCCCACGCACCCACTCCCACCATCACTTTTTTCTGATTGCAATGAGCACCACCGTGCGCGCCCTGCTGGATGATTTGCGCACCACACGGGGTCCAGCGCGTGTGTCGCGCCTCGCACATTTCGATGCGGCGCTTCAAAATGTCCATGTGGATGATCTGATCCAGATCGTCGGTGACCGCGACGGCGACGGCGACCACCACGGCGACCGCGACGACGACGACGCGCACGGCATCGATGTTCAACGTCGACTCTTTGCTCGCCTAGCAGCGTCCCCATCCCTTCCCCTGTCCGCCGCGCACACCATTCTCGCAGCAGCATCTCGCACTCGCGCTCGCGCACATCACGCGGCAGCACACGCTCGACTGCTATCGTCCCAGCTCAAGGCATTGTCGGCATGCGTGCACGCATCATCAGCAGATGCGACGCTCATCACTTCCCTCGTCGACCTTGCTCTTGCTTGCCTAGCTCTCGGACAGCGTCGCGCGCCCGCTCCGTCTCATTCCCGCGCGAGTTCCGTGTCCAGCTGGCGGAGCGCGAGCGCGAGCTCGAGCCCAAGCAGAAGCACAAGCACAAGCAGCAGCGGCGGCGGCGGCGGCGGTGGCGGCGGCAGCAGCGCAACGACCGGCTTTCGAGGTGGCAGCCTGGCTTTTAGTGCGTCGGGCGGTGCCTCCGTAGCTTCTTCAGGTGCACCCGCCCACGCACACGCACACGCACACGCACCCCCACCCTCAGCATCCTCCGCCAGCGAGACCGACGACGATGCCGTTCGACAAGGGTGAGTCGCGAGCGCGGGCGAGAGCGGGCGAGAGCGGGCGAGAGCGGGCGAGAGCGGGCGAGAGCGCTCGCGAGGCGATTGAATGCGCGGGCGAGGCAATTGAATGCGCTCGCCGATTGAGAGCGCTCGCGAGGCGATTGAATGCGCTCGCGAGACGATTGAATGCGCTCGCCGATTGAATGCGCTCGTCTCGCTCACACACACACGTCCCCCCGCGCGCAGACTCGCAGAAGCGCATCGATCAGCGCGCACATCAGCCTTGCGATTGCTATCCACACTCGTCGAGGTGAGCGGGCGAGCGAGCGACGTCGGTGCTGCTTGTTCCACTGACGCACGCACGCTCCCGCGCAGGCCCACTCTGCTCTGATGTTGCCGCACTGGACTCGCCTCTTTGATCCCGCTCCCGCTCTCGCTCCCGCACCCGCACCCGCCACCGCCGCCACCGCGTCGTCGTCGCTATTGTACACGCTCGAACAGGATCACTCGCTGGCGGTCCGCATCACTGCTTGTCACGCACTTGGCGCTCTGCTGCACGCGTCCGCCAAGTCTGGCATGCTGAATGCCGCCCAAGAGAGGTGCGTGCGGGCGGGCGGGCGGGGCGCGTGAGGCAGTGTTGCCTAGCGAGTCAGAACGTATCATATTGCTCCCCCTCTTGACGCCGATGATGCTCCCCCCCCCCCCCCCCCCCCCGGACGCCGCAGATCCCTCCGATTGCAAAGCTTTACCCCGCTATCCGCCCGCATCGCCAATTGCCTCGTTGCGCTTCGACAGGCGCTCACAGCTGCGCTTCATCGTGCCATCGCACAAGCTCAAGCTCAGAGAGGCGTATCGCGAGCGCTGGCTTCGTACACGGATGCGCTCCTCAAGGTGGGTGCGCGCGCGTGCGTGCGGGAGTGCGCGCAGTGTGAGTGCACCCCGCTGACTGATACACCCCCCCCCCCCCCCCCCCCCCCAGCTCTCGCGCACGCTCGTTCAGACCACACCAAAGGCAAAGTTGCGCCTCCCACACAGCGCCTTGTTGCGAGATCCAGCATTATCGCTCAGTTCGAGCTCAGAGTCGAGCATTGCGGTCAGCGCATACGCCCTGCTCGCTTCTTTGCTCCAGGGGGGTGCGGGTGCGGGTGTGGCGGGCGCATCGGCATCGCTTGCACCCGATGAACAGGACCACTCGATGCCGCTACTCGCGACGCTGTTAAACACGATCGAAGCCGATGACTGCGAAGATGGCATCGCGACGCAAGCTTGGTCCACCTTGGCAGCATTGATCGATCGCCATCCCGTCGAGCAGTGAGTCGCGGGCGTGCGTGCGCGGGCGTGCGTCGTGCGCGAGCTCATTCACGCTCACTCTCGCGTGCTCTCTCTCTCGCACTCTTCCACGTCTCGCTCTTTCTCGCCCGCTCACCCGCTCTCGCGTGCTCGCACCCCCGCAGCGATCACTACCAACACATCCTGCAACTCGTACTGCGCGATTGCAAATCTCCCAGCCGCGCAGATTCCTCCGCTGCAGCCTTTCTCGTCGTTTTAAAAGCAGCTCAGCAGCACGCCACGCTCTCGCCCCCGCTCCCGCTCCCGCTCGCCGCCTCGATCATTCGAGCATGCATGCGTTCTGCTTCTGCCACCTGTCGAGCTCTCATGGCCGACGCCTTGCCCGCTTGGTCCGCCTTGGCCACTCCCGACACGCTCTCGACGCGGGAAATTTTAAAAGATTTGGCTTGCGATGGCGAGGCCACCGTTCGAGCCTCTGCAGCTCGCGCTTTTGGTGGCCGAGCGCAAGCAGAGGCTCGAGTTTTTGATGGCCGAGCGCAAGCCTCGGATGCCGTCGTGCTCTCGCGCGCCTCGGATGC